CGGTATGCGACAGCCGCTCAGAAAGCTTTGCCCAGTTGTTGGAGCGGAGGTTTCTTCCCTAACACAGAGAACAAACCACATTATGTTTCCCCTTGGAAAAGATCCAAACCCAATATTAATTTTTTCTTGAGCCTCACTCAACATATCGAGAAGAAAGGAAAGTGAGCTGTATGGAGCTGCAGATGGGAGCAGAGCAGAGCCCAAGGGAACATGGCATCCTGGCAGGATCTGCCACCACTTCAGCTCGCCTGCCACTTCCCGCTTCGGAGAGCCAGGCCTGTTCCATGCCCAGGCTGGCGGGGACAATGGCAGCCCTGAGCCTGCATTCCACACTCCATGCAGCCGCCTGCGTCTAATGCAAGAGCACAGAGGGAGATTGTGCAGGGTTCCTTCCAGGCATGCCCGCCCTGGGCCTGTAGCCGGAGGAAGGGGAATTAACCTCCGGGAGGCCTACAGGCCCCACCCTGGGGTCAGCTTTGGGAGCTGCCTGCCCCTCTCTGCCCAGGCTACCCTGTCACAGCTGGATCCTCTCTGGCAAGCATCCTTGCCCCCCTGAAGCTCATTGGTCAGCTCAGATCTGCTGCCTAACCCTCCGAGCCTTTTTGGACAAGACATGAACCTGCTGTGGCTCCCTGTCCCCTGCCTAGCATCTCCCGTCTGGTTTGTTCGCTGTCGTCTTGCTGGCCCCCAAGCCACCTTGACCCCACGCTGTCTGTCCAACACACTGCAGAGGAGCTCCTGCCTGCCCCGGGGCCTTTGCATGGCCTCTCCCTGCTGCTGGAGCTGCTGGAGCCCAGAGAGTCACATTTCTGACCCCAAATTCAAACTGATTTTTTTTCTCCAGCTGAAGAAAACAAGCCCAAGGGCTAACTCTGACCCATTTTGCCACTTCTGATCTAGGGCTCCAGACTCCACGTTTTGTTTTTCTTACAAAGCGCAGGTCCCCTCAGGGTCTGGCAGAGGGCTTCCTCCCACTTGGTCAGGCCCCACTGGGTCAGTGGCGTGAGGACCTGGGCCTAGTGGGAGAGGGACAGGCTGGGAGCCATGTACCTGCACCACCTGCCTGCTGGCCTACCTCTGTCTGCCTCCTTAAATCCATCCTTCCCAGAGGCTTCTGACTGAGGCTCCTGGAAGTCATGTGGTCAGTTCTGCATTGCACCTACAGCTGGGCCCTGAGTCCTTCTGCCAGTGGGAAAGGCGTTTGCCTCTGCCTGAGGCGCCCTTTCCCTTTTCTGACCAGTTCAACCTTCTAAACCCAGTGCGAACAGCCCCTGCTCTCAGCCCCCTCCGCAGGCTGAATTCTCCAGGTTCTTCTTGTCTTCAGAAGCTCGTTGTTCACTGCCCAGCGGGCGCAAGTTCAGCTGCCGGCAGAAGCTTTGTTAGAGGCCACACCCTTGTGTCCCTAGGACCGCCCCTCCCCCCCACCCTCCCACCCCCGCCACCCCAGGCACCTAGTAGGTTCTCGGCAGTTTCAGAGGTGGTTGTTTCTGCTGGCATCTCTGTATTTCACTGGCTCAGCTGTGGAACCCGGAGCTGCAGGCACAGGCCATCTCTGCTGTCCTTCCACCCACTAGAAGACACCGTACACCTGCTTGCCATGTGGCGAACGAGTGGAGGAACCATGGGTGAGGGCAGAAGACTCGCCCGGCGTCCACAGGGTCCTGTGGACATTGCTCAGAAGGATTTAGTTCCTGGGGCATGCTGAGCACCTGGAGGGCCAGGCGGTTGGACTCCTTGGGTGCAGAATACTGTTGCCTGCTGAAAAGGGACTGGAAGATGCTGGAATGAGGAATGGAAGATGCAGGAGGAGGCCTCACTTCTTCATTGCATCTGCCCCACCAACAAGTAGAGGAGGGTCTCTGGCTGGCACTTGTCGGGATGTGGATGGAGCACCTCACCAGCCCACAGTGTTCTCAGACACAGTCCTTAAGAGCCAATGTGTCAGGGAGGGAAGAAACACTAGGGTCGGGACGGACCCCTGACCTGGGCTTGCACATGCCTGTTTCCCTAAGGGATGAGAGGCACACATAGGGAGTTCAGGTTCCCAGCTGCTGCCCAGGATCAGCACCAGGTCTCTGCCGCGGTCACTAGCCGGGTCTCTTGGCCAGATGCTTCCCGGGGACGAGATGGTCTGCGTTTGTCTTTCATTGCTAGACTTTATTATAGAACTGTTCATCTGTGACTCACCAAGCATGCAGGTGTGCCGCTCCCGGCTTCCGACAGGCTGAGGTGATAGGCCCTGCCACTGTGAGTCAGTGGAAACAAACTTGGCATCCTCATTGGCTCGTATTCCCCCACGCTGAATGGGTGGTTCCCGCCAGAGAGGAAAGCAAATTGCCCAGTGTCCACAGGAGCTGGCAAGGCCAAGATGCATCTGACTTAGCACCAGGAGGCTCTGCTGCTCGGCAAGTCCAGGAGATACCTCCACCCACCTGCACCCTGGGACTCCACGGGGCCGCCCATCACAGCTGTCAGTCTCTGCTTCCTGTGGTTGGTTTGCATGTGTTCCATGCCTTCTGCAAAGCTAGCTCCAAGCTGGGCTGTGGGACTTTGCCCAGGGACGCTGGATCCAAGTGCATACCTCTGTGCTCTGGGACTTGCACGCCCATGGCCAGTGTCCTCTTGGGTGAGGGGACCGGGCAGAGAGCTGGGGTGGCCCCTGGAACCTTCCTGCCAGTGAGAAAGAAAAGCAGGATTTGCTTTGTGACTGCAGTGATGGGGGTATCATGGATTGGCTGGCTGGTAATGGACAGATTTCTGGGGTCACAGTCATGAGGCTGGGATAGCCAGAGAGGGGTCTCTGTCTGACAGGGGTCTTCTGGCTGTGCCGTATTGTGGCATGGTGAGAGTGGGGGAGCAACAGCCATCCAACCCTTGAGGGGCACACCCTCATGACCTGCTCATCTTTCAGCTGTCCCACACTGGAAATTAAGTATCCAACAACTGAACTTCAGGGGCCACAACCAACCCAAGGTGCCCGCCTGGCTGGTTCAGGACATGCCTGTCCATCTACTGGCTCCAGGGAGCTTCCTCCTCAGCCCACTGGCTCTACTATCCTGGAACAAAATGGGCAGAGGTGGTTGCCCTTGGGAGTCCCCAAGTAACTTGTGAAAGTAGCCCATTCCTCAGGCCCAGGCTAGGTTCCCAAGTCAGGTGACCAGCTCTGGCCTAAGGTGATTGGACTGTTTTGAATATATGGCAACTGGAGTCCAGGAGTGTAGATGGTGGAGAATGGTAAGCACATCATTGTGGATTCCCCCAAAAGGAGAGGGGTGCACTTTAGCCTCTCCTTTTCAGAGGCCACTCCCCCTTCCCCCTTGCACCCCTGACCTCCCTGGCAGATCATGGTGCCTAATGTTTCCTGCCATGCTTGAGCTGCATGGCAGCCTGTTCATAGTACAGAGCTCACTCTGACATTGCTGCGCCTGCATCAGGATCTGGGAGCAGCCCGGGGACTGCACAGGCCTTCAGACCCCAAGGGGAGCCGTCCTTGTGGACGAGAAGCAGGACTGGCAGTCTAGGTTGCACTGTCCGGAGGCAGCCTGGCTCTCTGTGAGCTCTGGGAGGAAACAGGGGGGTCTGGTAATGGGACTGCATGTGAGGGCTTGAGGGACACAGCAGCCTGGGCTCCCCCTGCCCACTGCCAGAACCTGGGGCTGCCAGGCACCATGCTTTGACTCCGCTGCCACGTCCGGAAAGCCACAGGCCTGGGCCGCTTCACATGTGCTGAGTCTGTCTGGTGGGGTTTGACTGACAGGGGGGACTGCTGCAGACTCTTACGGAAGTAAGAACCAAGCATGAAGGAGGGAGTGAACGTCGGGCAGGCCGCTCCCAGCTGGTGTCGCAAGCTGTGGGGTTCTTGTGGCTTCATTTGCTTTCTGAAATGAGTGAATTTGCAGGCAGAGGGCCCACATGAGGCCCTTCAGGACAACTGTTCCAAAACCCGCTTTGCTCCACAAAACACAGAGCTATGCCCTGTGTCCCCACGTGTGTCCCTGCATGCGTGGCTGCAGGGGGCCATGGCTGTCCCGGGGCCAGGGCGGCTGTAACCCCTCTGCTGGTTTCTCCGATAGAATTATGGAGCACCTTCCTCGTGGTACCCCATGCCCCCCACTGCTGTCCTTGGGCGGCAGGCACCACCTCTCTCCCTGGCTTGCTCCCATCCGCCACACTGCACGGGCTCACTGCGGTCACCCTGGCTGAGGACCCTCCATGGGCTGCCAACCACCAGCAGCTACCTGCGCCCCTGCTGCCATCTGCCAGGCACTGCCCCCAGCCCTGCCTGCCCCCTTACCTGCCCCTTCCCTCCTCACCTCTGCCTTGTAGACTCTGACCCAGGAGAAACGTCTGGAGCACTTTGGGAACTGACCCATTCCAGGAAGTTACCAGGTGAGTTCAACAGGCCACGAGGGGTACAAGTGTGCAAGGAGACCTTGCCCTCAGCCGGACACATGCAGGGCACATCATGGCCCCGTGGAGTCACGCAGGGTCACCTCGTTTTACAAATGGGAAAACTGAGGCTGGGGCTAGGCTGTCTACACCAGCTCCTCCTGTAGGATTTGTCCAGTACACAAGAGGCCTGGCTGGCATCAGTATCAGCCTTGGTGTAGGATGAGTCCCATGGCATATCTTCAGAGGCTAAGAGAAGGCTCTTACCTTGCGGACCTGACATTTGCCTTGGGACTATTGCTGTCCTCAGGGTGCCTCCGGAGGGGGTGCTTGCCCTGAGGGCACCAGGGACACAGCACCCTGTGGCTTTGGGAACAGAGGCCTCTCTGCTCTGGGGCAGGGCAGTGGGTGGCTATAGGGAGAACCCCCCAGCTTGCACCCCGCCCTGAAATCCTGCAGTTCTGTTGTTGCTTTGCTTTGGCCTTCCTCTATGCCTCAACCCCAGCCCTGCCCTCCTAGGGTGACCTTGATCCGCAAAGCTGCTGTCCGCGTGGACCGGGGCTGACTTCACACGTCCACCTGCCAGGACCCCTGTGCCCAAACCCCAAGACATGGCGACCAACGGCAGCAAGGTGGCCGATGGGCAGATCTCCACGGAGGTCAGTGAGGCTCCTGTGGCCAACGACAAGCCCAAGACCCTGGTGGTCAAGGTGCAGAAGAAAGCGGCTGACCTCCCGGACCGTGACACCTGGAAGGGCCGCTTTGATTTCCTCATGTCATGTGTGGGCTATGCCATTGGCCTGGGCAACGTCTGGAGGTTCCCCTACCTGTGCGGGAAGAATGGAGGCGGTAGGTGGCAGTGCTTGGTGGTGGGTAGCTGGGGCTGGGGCAGGGGCATTTCCTGGGCCTCCTCTTGGGTGCCCTGGCCTCTCTGTCTGGCTTTGGAGCTGCTCTCAAGGCAGAGCGGAAATTCTGGAGGATCCCAGAAGCAAGGTGCCTGCTCTGAGGGGAGGGTCTCCAAGCTTGGGGGCCACAAACATTGTCTGCTTCACCCCCAGGGGCCTTCCTCATCCCCTACTTCCTGACGCTCATCTTTGCGGGCGTGCCGCTCTTCCTCCTGGAGTGCTCCTTGGGCCAGTACACATCCATTGGGGGCCTGGGTGTCTGGAAGCTGGCCCCCATGTTCAAGGGTAAGTCTGGAGGCCTGAGGCCCTGAGCTGGCGGCCACAACCCTGGCCACAGAACCATCTGAACTTGGGGCCATCAGAGCAGCCCCAGCCTGGCAAGCAGCGAATACTGCAAATGGACAGGGGTTGGTGAGACAGTGGAGGGGAGAAACCCATGCTATGTGCTCATTTCCTGGCGGGGCTGCGTGTGGTTTTCTTTGCTTCCCGGCTTAGAGCCTGGCAGGCTTACAGGGACCCATGGAGGGTCAGGTGCCCCGGCCCTGTGCCCTTCTTGGGCCCTGAGTTCTAGCTGCCTCGCTCAGGAGGTGCGCAACCTTCTGCCGGTCACTGCCTGTGCTTCAGCTCTGTCCTCAGTCCTGCTGAGTCCTGGTCGCAGAGCCAGGGCTGAGTGGAGAGCGACTGCAGGCCTGACAGCGTGTCCTGCCCACAGGCGTGGGCCTGGCTGCAGCCGTGCTGTCCTTCTGGCTGAACATCTACTACATCGTGATCATCTCCTGGGCCATCTACTACCTGTACAACTCCTTCACCACGGTGAGTGGCCCTGCCCGGCACCCCTCTGGAACTGGGGGCTTGTGGTTTGCCTCAGCAGTTACAGCACTCACCTGTTCCTCTCAATACTGCATCTAAAATGGGTGTGCATCTGGCTGGTTTTACACAAGCCCAGATGGCCTGGGAACACATCTTAGCACTATCCTCTGCTGTGTAGCCTCAGCAAAAAGATCTGAGCTCATGATGCCCTCTTGATGCCAGGCAGAGCCCGCCTTGGAGGTGCCAATGCATCTGTGTGCACGGCAGACACCTGAGTGTGGCTCAGCAAAGGGCCAAGGCCACAGACATGGCCTGTGTGCGCAGGGGGATGTTGACTTGTCAGCCTTGAGAGGGTGGGAGAGCCTGACATGTGCAAAGGGGAACCCTGAGAACCACATGCAAGGAAAACAAGCCACTCACAGATGCACGCACACCTCGGGTGTGTGCTCCCCTGAGAGGCTGAGCTCCCAGAGGCAGAAAGCAGAACGTGTCCCTGGGCACTCAGAGAGGGGAGCCTGGGGTTGGTGTTTGATGGGCATGGGGTGCCAATTCTGCGTTCTGGAGATGGCAGGTGGTGATGGCTATGTAGCAGCATGGGTGTACTTTACATCACTGCACTGCGTGCTTGCTGTGTCAGGTGGTTTGATCTAGCAGTTAGGACACCAGGCGGGATGCCCAGAGCCTGGAAAGGAGTGCCAGGTAGAATCGCAGCTCTGCTCCTTATGCTTCTTCCTGTTATTGGGTGCCCTGGAAAGCAGTGGGTGATGGCTTGAAGAGGTGAGACACTTGCTTCCCATGTGGGCAATCCGGATTGAGTTCTGGGCTCCTGGCTTTGGCCAAGCTTTAGCCACCACAGTCATTTGGGGAGGGAACCAGCAGGTGATCTCTATCATTTATCTCTGTGTTTCTCTGCCTTTCCAATGAAGAAAGCCATCTTTTTGAGATGACAAATGTTAGGCTTGTGTTTGACCACAATTAAAAAAGACAAACTTGGAAGGAAACAAAATGGAATCCTTGCATGCTGGAGTTGTTGGTGGGAGGGGGTAGGGCCAACGTGTGTAAAATACTAAAGACCAGAGAGTATGTTGTATTGGTTGCAGTGGGCAACGTCCCATGCCCAGGGTGGTAGAGCTGGGAAGTGGCCCCCAAAGGAAGACCCGACAATCTTGTGGTGTGGTTCAGAGGCCTGGACCTTGGCATGAGCAGATGGTGCTCCAGTAGCCGCTATGTGATATATAGCTAGCTGCTGTCTCCTCTCTGACCTGGGGGCCACCTGCTTGTCCGAGCTACTAGCAAGGAGAGGTAGAACCGTGATTGCAAGGAGGTTCCAGGTATCCTTAGATTGGCCAGGGAGAGCTGGGGTGTGGGCCAGCCTCTGGGGTCTCAGTGGGATTTGTCCACATGACTGTGTCTTTATAGACGCTGCCCTGGAAACAGTGTGACAACCCCTGGAACACGGACCGCTGCTTCTCCAACTACAGCATTGTCAACACCACCAACATGACCAGCGCCGTGGTGGAGTTCTGGGAGTGAGTAGCAGCCTTGTGGGGTGGGCAGGGTGTGTGGGAGCTTGGGACAATGCCCCCACTTCCAGAGGGAGGGAGGACTGTGTGCAGAGGAGTGAGCAGGGCTGAAGTCAAGGCCACCAGACACCTGCTGTGGCCTCTGGCACAGGAACCCAGCTACTGACCCAATTGTGGGGGATCAGAGAGGACCAGGTCCTTGGCATGCTCCCCTAGTGCTGTCCAGCTCCAGCCAGAGGCCAGGACCCCTGTGAGGTACCCAGAACAATCATCTCCAGAGGCTCAGAGAGGGTCAAGGGGGTAAGGGAGGGCTGGCACAACCGAGTAGGGCCTCCCAAAGAGGCTGGTAGTCACCTGTCCTGAGAACCATCCCTCACCTTGGTGGTCCCTGGCATCCCAGGTTCCACACTCATAATTCAACCTGATTATGGATCAGATATAGTTCACGAAGAGTTGCATCTGTGCTGAGTGTGCATAGACTTCTTGTTATTCTATAAACGCTGTGTTGTGGCTTTTCTTGTAGCATGGACCACGGATGTGGTGCTAGATACAGGTGTGATGCACAGAGGGCTTCAGGTGTCAGAGGACATGTGCAGTTTCTGTGCACACGCAATGCTGCTGTGTACCAGGAACTTGAGCACCTGTGGAACTTTTATCTGTGAGAGTTTGTGGGACAAATGCAGATACTGATGGAGTACTGTACTTGCAACCCCAGGGGCACCTGGACCGAACGCAGGTGCACACATGTACACATGCACACACATGTGCACAAGTGCAGACACACATGCAGATTCACATGCACACGTGTGCACACACGTTTACATACATAAGCACATGCAAACGCATTGTCCTGTGTACACAGAGGCACATGTTTGCACACCAACACATGCGTGTATACATGTGCATGCCCTGGCTCACACACTTACACACACATTCACATGAACATGCACACACAGTCTGGCCCTGGGGAAGGCCACATTGATTCTGTTTTCAGGTGTTAGGGGCTTACTGGGCCCCAGATCTCTTGGTGCTGGGCAGCTGCTGAGGTGTGCAGGAAGTGAGAGCAGGACAGGGCCATGAGAGGGGATGACCTGGGGACCGGTTGGTAGGCTGGCTGGGGAACACAGCCTCATTCCGTGGCAGGACCATGCCAGGGACTTGCAGTTGAGAAGGCTGTGTGTGGGAGCAGAGCAGAGTAAAGGGAAGGCTGCTGAGTGGCTCAGGAGGCTGAGCTAAGTCACCTACAGCTCCCGCAGTCCTCAATGGTGATCCTGGTACCAACCCAACCATTTGGGGGACGTCATCCCTGCCCATGCCCCAGGCCTTCCTAGGTACCAGCAGCCCCTGTGACTGTCTCCTTCCTCTGTTGTCTAAACAGGCGCAACATGCATCAGATGACAGATGGACTGGACAAGCCGGGTCAGATCCGCTGGCCGCTGGCCATCACCCTGGCCATCGCCTGGGTTCTGGTGTATTTCTGCATCTGGAAAGGTGTCGGATGGACTGGAAAGGTGAAGGACGTGTAGGCACTGGGGGCTTAGGCGGGGCCTGTGGCTGCAAAGGGATCACTGTCTTAGCCTGGAGAGCATACCTCCCGGCCACCCGCTTCACCCTGGGCATAAGCAGGATCTGCAGCTCCCTGTGCCTCAGCTTCTTTTCCTGTAAAATGGAAGTAAAGGCCTTCCCTACCTTGTAGAGCAGGTATGAGGATCCTGGGATATGATACACGATGGGCTCATGGCACAGTTCCTGGAGGATCCTTGAGATTCCACCAGCCCAGGCCAAGCCCTGCAGCTCAGGGCAAGCATCACTCGCAGGAGAGCAGACTTCTGGTTCCAGGTGGAGGACACAGGGACGGTCAAGACTAGGCAACAGGAGGGCCTCATCCAGCTGTCTTTTCTGAGCGGCTGGAGTAATTACCTGTCTTCTAGATGGGAGAAAGTGGTGCTCAGAAAAGAAGAAATGAACCCAGAGTCATGCTTTTTCATCTTTCCAGCTACAGTGGTTTGTCCAGCAGGTCACAGTCGTCTCTCCCGATCCTGCAGGATCCTAGGGTGCAATCAGAGAGAGGAAGCTACCCCCAGGGAACCCCACTCTGGCTGGAAGCCAGGCTCCCCACAGACCCTGAGTTGCAAAGGCCATTGAGCCTGAAATCGCTGTTCCGCACCAGTGAGCGGAGAAATGATTGCAGGCTTTTAAAGATCAATTTGGCCAAATGGTTGCTAAAATGATTTGTTCTGCGCTGGCGCTGTAAGGCAGGCACTCGTGCCTTGCTAGAGGAATTTGTTTTCTTTAAGATTTGTTTATTAATCGAAAGGCAGTGTTTCAGAGAGATAGAGAGGAAAAGACAGAGGGAGGGATCTCTCATTTAATGGTTCACTCCCCAGATGGCCACAACAGCCAGCCCCAAGTGAGGAGCCAGGAGCTTCTTCCAGGTCTTCAACGTGAGTGCAAGTGCCCACACACTTGGACCATCCTCCACTGTTTTCCCAGTCTCATTAGCAGGAGTTGGATTGGAAGTGGAGCAGCTAGGACTAGGGACCAACCCCCTGAATCCAGGATAGGGTGCTGGCATCACACCTGTTGGTGCAATGTGCTGTGCCACAACACCTGCCCCTGAATTTTCTAGAAGGAATCAGGCCATCTTCATAGATGGAAAGCCCTTGAAAACTGTGTTTTTATGCTCAGTGATTCCATGTCTAGACAGATTTCCCAGGAGCGATATAGTCATTCTGCAGATTAAGGTTTATAAACAGGAATGTTCAATGAGGCAGATAAGATTGGGTAACAGTAGGGGCCTCTTGGGAAAGGACAGTCGGCCCTCCTTGAGGACTGTAGAACTCACAGCTCAGGTGATACACGGTCTTATGTAAGCGGAACTATGTGCCCTGGGTATGTTTTGTCAAGAAACCTGCTCCTTGGAAAGGCAGGTGAGCGGGGGCGGGGGGTGTCTGACTTTGGATGACATCATCACCTGTATGGATGCCTGAGAAGGAACAGTGAAATGTTCACAGCCCGTGCCTTTGTATGTTTTTAGACAGTTATTATCTGTTATATTCCATGGACCATTATAGACATTGGAAAACACATTAGAAAGACACAAAACCTGTCCTCGTGTGATCCTAGGGGCTATTGCAGGGATGTGTGTGTGTGTGTGTTTGCTGATGCAACTTTTAATTTTTCCTGCTAAAATACCCATTATTTGTCTAATGTAGACTCCAGTTACAAATCAAAGAGAGTGAGGAAGAGAATGTCACATGCTGAGCTGGGTGGCTCAGACTCCACAGAGTCTGCCAAACAGAGCAGCCTAGAGCTCGGGAAGGCTTCCTGGAGGATGAGTGACAGGCAGTAAAGCCCAGGGCCACAGAGGCAGTGCAGGGCAGGGGAGCTGCAGGCGGGCTGATGCCCACCCCTCTCCCCCACCCCCAGGTGGTCTATTTCTCAGCCACGTACCCCTACGTCATGCTCATCATTCTCTTCTTCCGCGGAGTCACGCTGCCTGGCGCCAAGGAGGGCATCCTGTTCTATGTCACGCCTAACTTCCGCAAGCTGTCCGACTCGGAGGTGAGCGGCCTGGGGTGGCCCGTGGCTGTGCAGGCTGCTGGGCTCCAGCCGTGCCTGACGCTTGTGTCTGTAGGTGTGGCTGGATGCGGCGACTCAGATCTTCTTCTCCTACGGGCTGGGCCTAGGGTCCCTCATCGCCCTGGGCAGCTACAATTCGTTCCACAACAATGTGTACAGGTGCCAGCGGCAGCCATGCCCCGCCCCCCAGACCTTCTCCCCTTTCTGTCTTCCTCTGGCCACTGTGCTCAGCCCCTCTCTGCACTCATCCCTAGGCTGAGGTCATTCCTCCGAGGTCACTCCTGGCCCTGACCTGATACCTCAGGTCCCACTTCCCCTGGCTGGTTCCTGAACCCTGCCTCCCAGTGCCTCCCCGCACCCCTGTTGCAGCCTCCATGACCTCTGCCCTCTGAGTGCCCCCCAGTTGACACTGCCCGCTTCCTCCAGGGACTCCATCATCGTCTGCTGCATCAACTCCTGCACCAGCATGTTTGCAGGCTTTGTCATCTTCTCCATCGTAGGCTTCATGGCCCATGTCACCAAGCGGTCCATTGCTGACGTGGCAGCCTCAGGTCAGTGCCACCCCCAGGGTGGTTGGGGGACTGGGCCTTGCCTCCTGGAGACCTGGGCTGGGCACGTGGAATGGACGCTACCCACTGGGAGGCTCACCTCCTGGGCAGGAAAATGCCTACCTCCTGTCTCTGCCTGCCCCCTTCACCTGCAGACCCACTCCCAGGAGACTCCCAGCTCCCTCTTCTTCTCCTAGTCTCCCCACCTTTGGACCCACATACACCTCCAGACACTCAGATGCCACATGTCTTGGACACAGCTCTGATACCTTCCCCAACTGTGTGGCCCCCCCGGGAAGGGTGGTTGTCTAGTGCCCAGGGCAGAAACCCTGGCATTTCCTGATGCTCTTTCCTTCCTCTGTAGCCAGCACCTGCCTTTAGCCTCCCCAGCACCTCTCCCCGGGATCATCTGTCTACACTTTCACTGTCCCTGCCACGGGCTGGGCCGCAGCAGGCTCCCACCCAGGTGGTGGCCACGGCTCCTTGCTGCACCCCCACCCCAGCCTGTTTCCCCATGGATGACTCTGCTGAAGGTGCTGTGAGTGCCCAATGTGCCTCATTCCTGCCCCATTCCTGCAGGCCCAGGGCTGGCGTTCCTGGCATACCCGGAGGCGGTGACTCAGCTGCCCATCTCTCCGCTCTGGGCCATCCTCTTCTTCTCCATGCTGCTCATGTTGGGCATTGACAGCCAGGTGAGAGGAGCCCTCAGGGAGATGATGCAGAATTTCAGACCCCTGGAGTGTTCCGTGGCATGGGACTTTGGGAAGCAACTCTACAAACTTATCCTGTGTCCTGAAGGGGAAACTGACACGCAGAAGGACGGGACCAGTTGAGGTCCCCAAGCATGTCAGAGACAGCTTCAGGCCGGACGCTGGGGGCCCCCCAGGCCTGCTGCCTAGGTGTTCGTGGCAGGTGACTGACCCCTGTCCCCTGCAGTTCTGCACTGTGGAGGGCTTCATCACAGCCCTGGTGGACGAGTACCCGAGACTCCTCCGCAACCGCCGTGAGCTCTTCATTGCCGCCGTCTGCATCGTCTCCTACCTGATCGGCCTCTCCAACATCACCCAGGTGGGGTCACCCAGCACTGCCCCAGGGTCCTCTCCCATGCCACCTCGGTCCTTCCTTCTGCTGAGCCCCGTCTATGTGAAACTTTGGACACACGGCTATGATGGAGAGGGTCCTAGAAATGCACACACTGAGCTGGAAAGCATGGGGCAGAGAGTGCCGCACGTGGCCTGGCCCAGGACGGCAGGGATTGCTGGCTGGGCACGGGCTGCGGGAGTGCAGTTTGAACGGCTTAGGGCAATTAGCCAGATGATCATATTGGGCCTTTGAAGCGCACACTGCCCAATCCTGCCTCTTATTCCCATGTTTATCTCTGGGTTAATATTCTTGAGAACCACTGTCTGCATGTAAGACCTTCACATCTCTTAGACAAACACAGAACTGGCAAACTGTACTAACTGGTGAACTAAACAGAAAGGACTGTCAAGCGATGAGTTCAGCACCTGGGTCTGACCCACATTCTGCAAAACTGCCTCTCACACCCAGATGGCATCCTGACCCAGGACGTTGACTCAGCCTCCATTCATAGCTGTTCACACCGAATGTGACGGCCACCATTACTATCCCATGTTCTGTCTTGGATCTTCTGTCTTGGTGGGGACAGGACTGACAGATGAGATGATGGCAGAGCGTGAAGTGCAGTGGAGTCGATGTAGCAGGCTGGGGAAGACCACAGGGGCTGGGGGATGGGAAACCAGGAGAGACCTCTCTAAGGAAGCTGAGACTGAGAGCCAGCCCAGGGAGAAGCACACAGGCGGTGGTGAAAGGCCCTGAGGGGCAGGGACGGGGGAGTAGAGTGGGCAGAGCACAGCCAGACCATGCGGCACCTTAAGGACCTCAGCATCCCAATGTGATTCAAGTCTCCACTTCTGCATGTGTCGCACCTAGCAGAGCTGGTTCATGCTGATGGGGGCGGGGAGGATGGGGATGAGGGGGGAGGCGCTGGTGAGCTCCCCCACCTCCTGCCTTCAGTCTCCCTAGAAACGGCTGTGTCCTCCATTTCCTGGACGTTTTCTTCCCAGTGCCCATATCCCTTAGTCCTGCTGGCCACCCACCCTCAAGCCTTCGGGTGCTGCAATGACCCCTGAGCAGCCACCGCACCCCCGGGCTGTTGTCCCTGAGTGTGCTGGGTGTTGGGGTGCGAGGAAGGTGCAGGGGGTGCGAGGGGGCGTCTCACCCTCCTTTCTTCTCTCAGGGGGGCATCTACGTGTTCAAACTTTTTGACTACTACTCCGCCAGCGGCATGAGCCTGCTGTTCCTGGTGTTCTTCGAATGCATCTCCATTTCCTGGTTTTACGGTGAGCCTTGGCCTGTCCCCCCATCCATCCAATCATTCATTTTGTTCGTTCATTTGTTCTTTCATCTGCTCAGTTGCTTCTTTCTTCATTCACGGTCCCTTTCCTTTTTTCAGGTAAGTATATAAATATAAATTTTTTTAAAGACAGTTCAATAAACTCATTGAAAATGAATGCCAAGAGTACAGGAAAGTGTTGTTTTAGGTTGTATCTAGAAATGAGGAAAACACAGCTATAAGAAGTGTTGATTCTACAGATTTCACAAAAGCTGGGCTTATTCAAAGCGCTACAGCTCCCTAAAATGAAACTTGAAGGTCACGGTACGCTCCTTCTCACGTGGAAGGACACGAGGTCCTGTGGTCTGTATGTCCTCGCTCTCTCCCTGACCGCTCCGGGCCCAACGCCATGTGGCAACATCTGCGCATGCGCGCGGGCCTCCCGCGCTGCGCTCCCGGGCATGCGCACTGGCCTGCCTCCAGCCGCCTCAGGCTCCTCAGGCGGCGGGAACTCGGGAACTCGCCAGCCGCTGCCGGCCGCGCCTCTGAGGCGGTCGGTGTGTTCCCGGTGCCCGCGCTGTGGGAATTGGCCCTTCACAAAGTTCTCAGGAGGGCCAGGGCGCGTCGCCCACGGCTCACGCGTGGGTCCTGCTCTGTGCCCATGTCCCAGGCGTGAACCGGTTCTACGACAACATCCAGGAGATGGTGGGCTCCAGGCCCTGCATCTGGTGGAAACTGTGCTGGTCTTTCTTCACCCCCATCATCGTGGCGGTAAGGCCTGGGAGGCTCGCTCAGTGCGGGGTGGGATGGAGCGCAGCTGTGTCCCGGAAGAAGCTTCTAGAAGCAAAGGCGGGCAGAAAAGGCCCTCAGAACCCCGTTCCCAGTAGTACTTCCCCAGCTGGCTCCCTCAGTCTCTGCCTGCACCGTGCACAGCACCGTGCACAGCACTGGCCGCCGCCCCCACCTTCAGCGTCCGGCATCTTGATCCCATGAGTGTAGGTGGTGCCCGGACCGCGGCCTGCGGGTTAAGCCGGCGGGTTAAGGGGTGCCGGGCCCTGGGCTGCAGCGCTGCCTGGGAGGCTGACTTCTCCCTGCCCTTCTCCTCAGGGTGTGTTCCTGTTCAGCGCTGTGCAGATGACCCCGCTCACCATGGGGAGTTACGTGTTCCCCAAGTGGGGCCAGGGAGTGGGCTGGCTCATGGCGCTGTCTTCCATGGTCCTCATTCCCGGCTACATGGCCTATATGTTCCTCACCTTGAAGGGCTCCCTGAAGCAGGTAAGTCCTGTGCACGCCTCACCTCGCGTGGCTTCCTTCTCCGTAGCTTTGCTGGATCTCTCTGTGTTGTCCCCGGAACGGACTGCAAGGGCACTGGGGAGCTAGCGGGCCACCTGCTTCAGTCCAGGGAGAAGGCTACCGGGAAAGGGGCTAGCTCAGAAGAGGCTTGTGGAGAAATCACAATTAAAAGTAGGTGCAGAAAGGATGTTTCTAGAAGAGAGAGGGGAAGAGAATGAAGGTGCTTTACTGTGACCTGGAGGGAGTCGGGGTGGGCAGGGCTGAAGGGGTATGACAAATGGGGTGGGGGTGTAAGAAGGTCAGCTGAGGGTCTCAGAAACCTTGAAGGGCCAAACAGGAACTACCTTTGGACTTAGCCTGAGGACCCTGGGCTTTGCAGGGAACGAAGGGCAGGGACAGAGTTGTGGAGGGGCTCATCCTGGCTCTCACCTGTGGACCTGTTAAGAAAATGGGATTTGACCCTCAAGGCGGGGCGCTGATCCCTCCGCACAGGTCTCCACAGTCATACTGTGCTCCATCAGGGTCCGCACACTCCTACCGTGCTCCCTCCATAGGGTCCCCACCATGGTACGCCCTGCTTCCCGACTGCAGACCCCCACCGTCACACACAGATTAGGAATCCCTTGTCCAAAATACAGGAGAGCGGCTGTGTGTGGGAATCTGATTCTTTGGGATTTCGGAATGTTTGCACACAAGTACTGGATGCGCCTCCGTCTTTTATGTGTGCCTTGTACACATTGTGTGAAGGTGATAATATAGTGTTTTAGTGCACTTGTGTTTGGGCGGTGACCTCTTGTGTGAGTTGGGTAGTGAAATTTTCCGCTCCATGTGGCTGTGGTACAAGTTTCAGATTTTGAAGCATTTCAGATTTGTCTTTTCGCATGAGGGAAGCTCAGCCTGTGCTGCATCCTTGCTGCTCTTTGTCAAATTGCATTGAAGTTGTGGATGAAGCCATGCAGGAAGGCATGCCTATAGAGGACAGCCCATACAGTGCACGGAGGGCGAGGCTGCTCAGAGGCAAGACAGGACCAGAATGTGCAGGGCCACAGCCAGAACCCGAGATAGTCACTATCCTTTGCTTGACAGGGTATACCTGTTGCTTGTGGCTCCTAGATCTGAGGCCAAGAGCTGGGAGTCCCTCTTCTTCCTTTCACACAGGACAATGGGTGGATGAGCCTGGGCGGCTTCCTCAAGCCAGTGGTGGGTTGCTAAAAGGACCAAGGCTTCCATCCTGTCCTTCCACCTTTGCATCCAAAGCTTTTGTTCCCATGATGTGCTGTGGAGATTCCCGAGGCTCGGAGAGGGGGAGGGGTTGCCTGGGCAGAGGCACTGCGGTGGGGCAGGAATGTGTGGTGCCAGGAACCTAAAACCTTGGCCAATACTGGGGATTGAGCCACAAAGGAAGCAGACAGAAATGCCACCTGCTGCTTAGAGTTTAGTAGAAGAAGAAAGTGAACAACATCAAACCACATGTGGGCTGTGGAGAAAAATCAGAGTGGTAGGAGGTTTGGGGAGTGCTGGACGGGGTCTTGCTGGGAAGGTGGAACACATGAGCTCAGATCTAAAGAGGCGGAGGACACTGCAGCCCTGTGCCTGGGAGGTTGTGCCAGAGCAGGTGCTGCCGGTGCACAGGCTCTGGGAGGAGTCTACCTGGTGCCTTAGGCCTGTTAGGCCTTAGGCCTGTCATGTTGTAGAGGCCCTGGTGATATGATTGCCCTCCCAGGGTGCTGGCCAGTGCAGGGTGTGATCTCACTATGCTGCTGTGCCAGGACCGGGGGGGATACAAAGGGCCTAGGGGCTGAGTGGGAGTTGTTGCAATAACCCAGCCAAAGAGGCTGCTCTGGGCCAAGGTGGGCATGGAGGACATGCGGTGGGAGCGAGGTTGTGGCTAAAGGCAGAGGAAACAGAAAGGGGTAGGGTCAGGGCGCAGCTGGCCCGTCCTCCCAGCCCAGATCCTCCTGGGTGCCCGCAGCGCATCCAGGTCATGATCCAGCCCAGCGAGGACATTGTCCGTCCGGAGAATGGACCCGAGCAGCCCCAGGCCGGAAGCTCCGCCAGCAAGGAAGCCTACATCTAGGGGTGTAGGCCGCCCGCCGAGAGCCACTCTCACCCGACCTGACGAGTGTGACCGTCACCTGATGTCTGAGGATCCCTTCTCTTTGAACCTACCTCGGGTGGCGAGACCGGACCCATCACCACGCACACAGGGGGTAGGGGCACAGCCAAACCCGGGGAGGCGGGGGACTGCCCCGGGCTTCCGGCAGCCAGCAGGCTGGCAACATTTCCCTTCGGGCCCCATGAGCATCAAGCAGCTGTGTTGCACCTGCCACAGCTGCATCCTTCCTGTCCTGCCAGCAAGTACGCCCAGCAGGCCGCCCACTGCTGGCTTCCAGTGTTTTCCTGACTGTTCTCTTCCTGCCATGACCCATGACTGTTATCCTGGACTTTGCAGTAGTAGTTGGATCCCCAGAACGCTGCCATGCATGTGTGTGCAGGGGTGTGAGGCACACTGGCCATCTGCTCACCGGGCTCCCTTGTCCAGCTTCCCCTTTCTGGTCTCTGCTTCTCGAGGCAGCTGCACAGGGCAGCCTCCCACGGGCCTCAGTTGGGGGCCCAGTGCTGCTGCTCCGCTATGGATTGATGACTGAATGAGCCACACCTCTGCAGCTTGGTGCTCCCGCCCCTCCTCCTAGGAGCCCTGCTGGTTGGAAAAGGGCCCCAAGCACAGTCAGTTTCTGTAGATTCTCATTCCAGGTTTCCCTTGGGGTATTCTGCTACTCTTAAGCTGCCCAGTTTTGCAGAGCACAAAGCGGCTGCAGAGGAAGTCTGGGGAAGGGCTCTGCCCAAACATTGGGGTTTGCCCCTTTGTCCTTGGGCTTCTGTGAAACTGTCAGACTCACTGCCAGCCCGTGGCAGGCGCTGCCTCCTCCCCTTGCTCCTGAGTCCTGCTACCACTCTGACCTTCCCGCCCTCCCCTCCCTCCAGCCCACTAACCTAGAGACCCCTGCTCCCCGCCCGGCCCTGTGTGTCTGAGAGTCCAACCACTTTTCCAGACGCATCCTCTGTTCCTTTCTGGATTTGGGATCTATGGAGTCAGTTTCTTGCAGCTATGGCTGCCAGCGTTGCCCATGTGCCAGGACGGGGCTCCTGTGTAGCAGAGCGTCCTTGTGCCCTATAGCTCCTTAGCACGTAGCTCGCAGGCTGTGTCTGACTAATCCTTACTAACCCTGGTAAATAACTGTGACTGAATTTTTTAATCTTTCGTCGTTCTCTTCTGAAAGTGACCAGCATACCAGTTCTTGCAATAAGATATCACCCTCAGAGTATTAAGCACATTATTGTAGAGAAAAAAAAATACTCCATATCCACATACAGATATACACGCAGGTGCGTTTGTCCTCAAATGTGGTGTATAGGATCCTGTGTGGTGCCGTGTAGGAAATCGCAGCCCCTCTGAGGGGTCATGTGTACCTTTAGTCTCATTGCTAAGACACCCCAGCTGCCACGTGCAGAAGCCAAGATCGAAACCCATGGACACGGCCCCGTGACAGGGTCTGCCGTGGACCCGACACTGTGTCTCCTGGTCTCGCCCCTACCTGTGTGTGAATTCCTGTAGACTAAGGGCAAGGAGATTTTGTCACTTCCTCTTTGTTCTTCCGTGTGAAATTGAGATCCAGTCTTTCTCAGATAAATGCAGTATATTTCATGTTTGTAAGCAGTTCTAACTGAAGCGTTTGGCAGGAAATCCCTGAATTGATTTCTACCCAAACCGACTTTATAGAGCACAATATTCAGTGTTGTACAATTACTGTGAGAACTGTGAATTTGTGTAACTTTTGTTTGTTTTTTTAGTATTTGCCCCGGGGGGAGGAAAAGATACTGTATTATCATAAATGCTTTTTTTTGCAATAAGGATTTATTCTCAGAACACCAAGTAAATCTATCTCTATATAAAAAATATATGTAATATATACATATTCAAACTATATATAGAGCCTGTTTTAAAAAAAATGACAGTATTATTTAGTAAAATTATCTGTTCTATGGACCAAATGTAAAATATTTATAAATGAAGATACATTTTAAATGTCTATAAATGGTGTCATAACTAGAGCACGGGCGTTATGTAAGTTTCTAAGAATTTAGAGGAAAAATAATAAAGGTTCTATGATACACAGCAACAGGCCTTGCATTCTTGGGGATGGGGTCACACTGGACTCTTTGATCACAACAACCATGCAGACGTGCAAAGCCCGTTCCCTGCCCTTCTGCCGCCACCACCGAGTTAGAGTGGTGGACTCAAATCCAGCCAAATGGAGGGGGAATTTTCACCTGTCTTCGAATGAGTAGGCGGAAAACCACTTGGAACTATGGCAGACAAACGGCTCATGCACATGGCCAACCAAAGAAAAAGGCCCAGCTGGGAAGGGCGAGCCAACATGCCGCTGCATGTGCCAGTGAGTTGGGGCTTCACCTCTGATTCCAGCTTCCTGCAGACCTGGGGAGACAGCAGGTGGTGACTCCCTGCTGCCAGTGTGAGGGAGCCGCAGCAGCCCAGTGCTAGATGTTGCAGGCTTTTGGAGGAGCAAGCCCGCAGAGAGGAGCGCACTGTGGTAACTCCCTGTGTCTTTGGGACAAGGGCCAGCCTGGGAAGGGGAATTGCGTGAATAAGAAGGATCAAGGGCCAGAGCCTTAGACCATTGTGGGAGGGGCTAGTAAATCAGGCTGTGGAAGGAGGTCTGGGAGGGGAAGAGAAGGAGTGTGTGAGGTATGTGTCCCCTTCCCAGCTTGCCGACTTTGAGTGCTCTGTGAACAGTGTTGCTGGACCCGTAAAACGTGGAGGTTGAGTAACATAGCCAGCACAAGATGGACCTGGGCGGCCCCATGCCACACCAGCCTCAGTCATGGTTGGATCAGGTGCTCAGAGGGAACCAGGAATCAGTGTCTGCACCTCTCAGCTCTGCCTTTTTGTCCTGACTTTACTCTGAAACCATCTGTGTATGTGATGACTACAGTCAAGCAGACCACAGCCTCATACTTTCCTCCCTGCAGGATGGCCATGGCCTGTGAGTGTCTTGTCCCTAACCCTTAACACCTGTACCACAGTTCCGGGACCAAGTCCCATGGGACCAATCTGAAACTTTTGGTTGTTTGCCCAGTGTGGCCAAGAGGACAGTGTGGACAGGACAGACCTGGTCTCCTGGCCAACTTTTAGCTCCAAGCACATAAACTAAGAATAAGCATAAAGGGGAGTCCTACAGGAAGAGGGAATAGGTGCTGGTCAGGCAGTCACCACAGAGGCCCCAGGGCAAGCCACCATGTCATCCAGTGGCCGAATGAGCCCTTCTGTGCTGTGGTCTCCTGATGGCTGCACCTCAACCTGGTCTCCAGTGCAAGTTCTGTGTGCAGTGGACCCTCAGGGCAGGTGGACAGGAACTGGGCATGTCCTACATGCGTGGAGTCAGCCCAGCAAGGGCTGCTGTTGGGTGGAGTGAGGAACACAACCTCTGCTTTGTCCAGGTCACCATCATCATTCCAGTGGATACCACTATGGTCCCCTGACTTGACTCCTGCCTCCAGGTCTGTCCCCCAGGCCCGCTCTCAGCACCAGCAAACTGGCTCTGCCCCCTCTCCTCTGCGTGTGATGCTCTGCATGACCCAGATCGCTTTGCACCTTTCTGACCTTCATGCAGGCCACTTGGCTTCCCATTAATGGCACCTCCTCTCCCCTGGAACACTCTGATTTTGTCCCTGCCACAGGCCCGTTGACACTCAATGTTCCTTGTGCTCGGTTGCTACAGGGCCACCAAGTTCCCTTAGACTCTGGTCCCACACCTGTCTGAAGATGAAAGGTGAGGAAGAGTTGGTGGGAAAGCTGCAGAGGCCTGGACCATCACAGGTAGACAAGCATCTGCAGTTCACATTCAGTGGGCCTTCGGGCCTGCTTGCTGGGCCTCCGGCTTCATCAGCTCTTCTTCCAGATACCCTCACAGTAGATGGATGGATCTATAGCCTAGATGGATGTATAGATGGATGGTATAGGTGGGTGGGTGGATGGGTGATGGGATGCATGGACAGAGACAGTGTAACAGATGAAGGTACTGATTTTGGGATCAGACAGCCTTCCACGTGAGTTCTCACTGCCACTTACTCTGCAACTCTGAACACATGGCCTACGTCTCTTTGTGCCTCAGTTACTTTACAAAATTGTCAAAATGAAGTGAGTTAACACTGAGTCCACAAATGAGCAATGATGAAACAACAGGTGTTGGGGACAGCCGGGCCTCTTCCGCGGTGTCCCTTTGGAAGGCCTGGTTAAATCAGGGTCATGCTCCACCCAGAGCCCCACAGTTTGAAAGATTTATGTGTATCAAACTGTCTCTTAATGATGAAGCCATTTCCCCCTTTTATTCATCAGATGTAGTTAATTAGAGTTCCTGATTAGCATGAGGTAATGAGGGTAACTGCAGTTGAGCTGGTCCCATTCCATGACAAAGCAAACAGTGCAGCCTTTGGGGTTCCCAGCTTCTCTGTGGGGGTACCTGTAATTTCCTCTAGGCTCTCTAAGAAGTGGAGAATGAGATGGTGAGGGTTCCATTGGACCCTGCAGGGAAACCTGGGACCTCAGATGCGTCCCTGTTTCTGAGAAGCTCACAGACTGGATGGAGATCAGGAAGCCACTATTGATTAGCTTCTTCCTCACAGCCTAGGGGATGCTCAGGCCCTACACAGCGGCCCCTGGTGAGGGTGAGACTCCCTGATAATGAGTCCAAGCAGTTCCTTCTTCCTGCCTCATAGCCAGACTCAGATCCCCTTCAGGTTCACAGGGCCTCCTGCTGTGGAGGCCACACTGCCTTTAATTGAGCTGTGCCAGTCATGGAGCTCTACTGCCCTGGGCAGCGATTGGTGGAAACCTGGGCATGGCAGCCGATGATATGGGATGGAGTGGACCAGGAGTGGGTAGAACTAGAAAGGTGGTTTTGTTCTGTAAATAGAGGCCGGGGGTTGGTGGGAATTGATGGGTGAGTGGGTAGGAGACTGGCATAGCTAATGACTAGCCTAGGCCGTGGGTGTGTA